GTTCAACTTTGGCTTTGCTACTGACATGCCAATGTGTTGTTGTCATAATGAACTGAGATTTCCCTAATCTATATGGAATTCTATTTATTGATAATGTACAAACTGGATTCAATACTGTAGTAAAAATGCTGAGAATTCCATTTTGTATCACATGTACTGTTTTGGAATAAAGCAAATTATTATTATTATTCCATATAGTCAGTTGTGATGCCAGAATTGAAATAAAAAAAATTATCTAGGCTAGTCACTGCTTTTTGTTTCTACGAAATCATATGTTCCTGTGGAGCTGCTACTGTATGAACTTATATCCTAGTGCTCCAGGACACCTACCAGTGTAGACGAGTAAAGGTGTAGTTAGAACCATCAACAGTTGTATACTGGACTCTAGCAATGAAGTGTCTTTCTTAGTCTCTAGATACCGAACACTTCAAACATCAGAGACCATTTAAATTCCCCCAAATTAACTGGAGGTCTGTTAGCGATAGAAACATGTTCAGCCAGCTATTGTGTTGCTACTTTCGTCTGCTGTGAAACCTATAAATACAGAAATTCTTCTTTGCTTTCCTTAATTTATTTGATATTCAGGCAGTTTTATATTGAAACAATTAGTCCCTTTGATAAATTTGTAAAAGGCATTAAGAAGACAAATTTCACGAGATGATATCGTCATTTCGTAGTTTCTTTACAACCGCTTTGCAACTGACATGGTTAACAATGATAAAATAAAGTTCATGACAATTACTCACTTATATAAAACAAAAGTACATACTACTAATGACCAATCATATTTAGATAGGTCATGTAGTCAGTCCATGGTAGGCGAAGATTGAAGTCTATTGTTTTTTGTACACCCAGTTTAGGCTGCGTGTGATTAATCCAAAGTGCTTCCATCACCTTCAATAACCAACCTTGAATTAGAGTTATGTGAAATAATTGTGAAACAGTCATTAATATTGATTGACTTTGTGACCTGACATTAATAAGTGTTTTGCAATGGATGATGCTGGATTTCTATTCAGATTAATCACATTGGGATTTTCTATATGATTTAGTAGCCATTTCGGAACATGTACTTTCCAACGACATTGGAACATTCTGTTGGTTCTACCTATATAGGTGTCACCGCAGCTGCAGGTGAACTTGTAGATACAGTTTGAAGTAGAATCCACAGAATTTCGTCCTTTAATCGTTGGTACAGGGATCGAAAATGTTCGACAAGTGAGAAGAAGAGATGCGGCGTAAAATGTGCGTTTGATGGCTGACCGAAGTACCTTTGAGCTGTCAACTGCATAATCTGGTCGCCCTTGAATGGTAGGTTAATAAAGATAGCTTTCTTTGGTATAGAAGCTGTCTTTTCGAGATGTGGTCTTTCTTTACTGTGACAAGTGATAAAATTTTCCGGATAACCATTAGCTAATAAAACTGAATGTATATGTCGAAACTCATCCATCACTGTGTCACTCGTGCATATTTTTCGGGCCCTTGAGAACAAACATTTCACTAGGGAACGTTTATACTGGATCGGAACAAAACTGGTGAAATGAAGATATTGTCCACTCCATGTCTGTTTACGAAAAATGGATATTATATGAATGCATATTATCTCAGTCTTACTGATGCCTTTGAATTGTAATCACCTGTCGATAATATTGATTGATTCAATGTAATTTTAAACAGTATTGAAGTGGTTAATAAGAATATTTCTTAAATTACTATTGTGTTATAAATGTAGAACTTGATGAAGAATGGGTTGTTGGAAAGAATACTCTTTGTTCATTAATCAATCTTTAAACTTTAGGCGCCTAATTAACATCAACTTTATATTCATTGTCTGCTGGTTTTCCTAAAACGGAATTAGAACAGTAAACCTTGATATAAGTATAAAACTTGGGCACTGTGGTAGAGTATAAGTCCATTATGGATAAGATTTTATTCTGATAAATCACACAGTGTTTGTTATACAGTAATATTAACTGGTGACCATGTTTCGAGCACAAATTATTGCCACTCACAATCATATCAAGTCACTACTCACACAACTTTCTTGCTTCACTTATATACATGTGTGGAATCGATTAGATATTGGAATAAAATTCAATATGAGATAATGTACATTCAGAAATAATAGTACGAGTGTTATTAATCCATTGCAATTAGATGGGAAATACCACGAGTGTTTTTATAGTCATAATAAGTAAATTATTAGAATGTTTTGATATGTTTGAATTGAATTGGAATTTTATGATTATTTATTATCCTCCTCTGATTTGAGTGACTGGTGATAATAATATCTTCCATATATATCTGTGGTATTTGCATTGAGTCATTTCTGTTGCATGTGTTGGGTGTAGACTCAATGAACCAGGCAGGATTCAGTAATCAATCTCTCTCGCTATCCACCTACCTGGATTACTTCTTAGAATCTTAACCCTCTCCCACCCTATTGTGTAGTTGTGTGTTAATGCATGCATTGCAATTGCCGAGCTTTTTTCTAAATTACTTACTTTTTCGGGGTTAACCATTCTTCCCTTAGCTAAATTATTATATTCTGATAATCTGACTATCCCTGACCTGCTGGTTTGACCTATGTAGTTGACTTAACTCACAGTCATTGCAGGGTATTTTGTAAATTATATTATTTTGTTTAATTGGGTCCACCCGGTCTTTCAACCTACAAAGCTTGTCTCTGAGTGAGTTTGTAGGTCTAAATGCCCCACTCTAATTCCAGCTTTATTGAGAATCCAACGTAGGGTCTCAGATGTCCCCTACTTATATGGTATAACAGTAGATGACTTATATTCTCTCTTATTTATGTTATTACTACTAGTTACACAATTATTTTTACTTTGTTTTTGGCCTTAAATGATCTTCCTAATGAATTTTATAGGATAGTTATTCAACACCAACGCTTCTTTTATCTGTTTTATTTCGTCATTTAGGTCCTTTTTTGTGCTACTTAGTGCTATGGCTCGGTTTGCCAGACACTTCACTAAGCCTGCCTTAGCAGTTAACGGATGAGATGAATTAAAGTCTAAATATCTATTAGAATGCATTCGTATTAATGCCACCAGTCAAATCAGAGGAGGATAATAAATAATCTTAAAATTCTATTTCAATTCAAACACATCATAACATTCTAACAATTAACTTATTATGACTATAAAAACACAGGTCTTATTTCCCATCTGATTGTAATTGATCAATAACACTCATATCATTATTATTTCTGAATGTACATGATCTTATATTGAGTTTCATTTAAATATCTAGTCAGTTCCACACATGTATATAAATGAAGGAATAAGTTGTGTGAGTGACTTGATATGATTATGAGCAATAGTTTGTGCTCGAAACGTCACCAGTTAACATTACTGTATAACAAACACTGTGTAATTTATCAAAATAAAATCTTATCCATAATGGAGTAACAGTAAACCTGGTTTATCCAATAATTAACGATGAAGCCTGATGTTCAGAAATTGGATGAATTAAAATATTTTTTCAAACTGACAAGTGAATAAGGAAGTTAGAATTCAAGGGCTCGTTGGCCATTGGACTGACGGGTCCCAGTCACTTAATGGTCTACGAGCTCACTGGTTGCAAGCGCAGAGTACTGGACAGCTGATTAGTCAGCCCAGATTCGGGACTCTTCATCAGTACTCATCCACCACAGGGTCTAGAACCCAGGACCTACTGGTTACATGGTCAACAAATTCGTTGACTATTATGCCACTGGGACCTGATCCAAAGGCCATCCAGCCCATGAATTCTAACTTCTGTCAATTCAAGATATGGCGTGACCACTTCGCAATGTCTTCTCCGACGAGTAACTGCCTCATCTTCAACCTGCTTTACACTACCGGTCAGGGCTTTTTCTCTTTCTCTCTCTCTCTCCAACTTCCTCTTGTTGTTTCTTGCCAATTTCCATATATCTAATTCCACATATGAGGTGTTGAATCGATAGACAAAAGTTCATTGGTTAACGTCTCTCTCTCTCCAATTAACTATATCACCTTCTATTACTTTCATCCCATCCCAATCACCATACTGTGTGATGATAACATGCAAATGAATGCAATGTGTTGTGATGACTAAGCCGTCTTCTAGATTATTCAACTTCGCAGGCTCAATCATTCTAGGTGTCTAGTTAAAGTTTTAAGTTCCAACGATCTGACTGACCCTTACCTACTAGTATGACCTATGTAATTCACCCCACTCACAGTCAGCAATACACAGCATTTGGTAAATTATATTATTTTTTGACTAACTGGATCTTTCAGGTGAGCCCTTAAGATGACAGAGTTTATACCTGAGAGAGGTGGATGGTTGGTTGGTTGGTATAAATGCCACTCTAATTCCAGCCTCATTGAAAGTCACATGTAAGGCCTCTGATGCTCCTACACAGTCCTGTGTTTAAACCCTGTGGTGGGTGTATACTGCTAAAGAGTCTTAAACGAGGTTGACGAAACACCTGTCTAGTACTCCCGGACGCTTTTCTAATGGTTCTCTAATTGATGTCAGCTCATAATGAAATCCTCCAATCAATAAAACAAAAAATCACAACAAAACCAATACTTGAAAATCTCATTTCAAGTTTAACCACGTACTGATATCACCGATTCGCGACTTGCAGTAGCCAATATCATCAACCGAAAAGGGCCACTGTGGTCGTGCACAGCCGATGAATCCCTAGTTTTCAGTGACTCTCTAACTGATTGATATTATTCCGTCATCAAATCCCCGTAGAATAACTCCTGGAAAAAGAATACTATTGTACAAGAACATGTTTCATTTGTTTATGAGTGTATTTCATCTAATAATTTTCTAAATGCCTTCTTTATTATCTTAAAAAGAAAACTGAAACTTTTTTTAAATCACATGTTTCACTTACTACTTAAATGCCATGAGTAGTTTTTGTTTACCAATAATAATAATTATTATAGTTTTTTTGTTGTATTCTAAATATATTTTTTGTATTTGTCGTATTTGTTCCTTTACAGACGCTCAATCAACTAAACATTTTTCGGGATTCCTTTTGATCTAAGAATTGTATTCACGTATATCACTGTATCACTGTATATAATTCAAGGAAAAAACAATCAAAGCATTTATCAAAAGAGAGAGAGAGGTTGAGTGACGATAGACGGCTCAGTAAACAAAGTCAAAAGTAGATAAACTCATAATTAACAAACATTAACATCCATCTTCTCATCCACCTATCTATACGCACATAAATACATATCTTAATATATCTTCTTTTGAAAACACAAAAGAGATATACCAACGGAAAAAGAATTTAACATTGAACACATTGAATATTGAAAACACTTTTGTATAATTAATCTAAATAATCATAGTGATAATTAGAGTAATTAGAATTTGAGAAGTAAAAAAAAAGAAAAGGAAGAGAATGCAAAAATCTTTACGTGCAAATGAACAACAATTATACTATTTAGTGAATAAAGCACGTGAAAATGGTATAGCTAAATTATCTGGAAATTTATGGAAGAAAAGTTTAGATACTGGTAAATGGCAATTACGGTGAGTATAAAAACTTATGTAATTAAAGTAATAATTAATAATAATAATGTTTGATAAGTGTTGTTAATATTGAGATTGAAACAGGGACATCAGTTTGGTGGTAGACCAACTACGTGTTCATCTAAAGGCCGCTGTAGTTCAGCGAGAACACAAAACGACGTGAACCGGAAATTATATTTCCGCATCAGCTACAGTGTATTTTAAACAATAACGTATGATTTAAATTAGTCTGTGATCATTGATCAATAAAATATAGTGGGCGTTATTTTACGCAGGCCAGCTGTGATTGGTCTATTTCCACACTGTACATCGATCACTTATGTAGGTCAGTTCTGATTGGTTTATTCCCAGACTGACCTTGTTCAGCATATCACACGAATAAAAAATAATTCATTGTCTATCTGTATGTATATGATTTCACGCTAAATAGAAAAAAACATATTACTTGAGGCCTGCAGTGACTTTGAAGGGTTGGTCTGTTTTTTGCCGGATGGTTTGGAGCATTTGTGGCCTCCTATCTCCCATCTTAGTGTGATAATCTGCGGCACGCCTGAGAACAACTTTTTATTAGAGATGGGGGAGAGTTTGGCGTCTTTGAATGTGAAATAGCTGTTATTCTATCTGATGGATAAATTTTTGGTGGACAAGCGCTGATTGGGAATGGTGTCTGCAGTGACTTGTTTAGGATAGCCATTGTGTATGTGTGTGCCGCTAGGTAGAACCATTTTTGTGTCCAACATTAGTGTAGTCTTGGCACCGATGTTGTTTATACGGACAAGAAATGTTGAAATGTCGAGTACCACAAACAATACCAGCAGGATGGTAGAGATGTCATCTTTTTATGCGTCAATTACTATTGCTATTGAGTAACTAGGATAATGGATGTTTGACGTAGGCTCAGGAGGCTTGAAGTCAGAGGTTGGTGCGAATTATAAGAGATAAGAGGTCTAACGAACTTCAATGGTTTCCGGATCACTTCGGTGTCCAGCCTCGACTGAGACAGTTGTTCGAAAATTTTGTTCAACGTCGAATAATCCAATAACTCCATCGCTATCAGGGCTCAAATGTTGAAGATTAGTTTAGACACTCAAATAAATCACACTGTTGAATTGTATTACTACGTTTTAGCTCAGTGATTCTTCAGCATTACATGCCTGCCATCAAACAGGGGGTCGAACCCAGGACTCTAACCGCAGGAGGTCACCAATGATTAGTACAATAATTCATAAGTGACCGACTAAAGGATGAACTTTGTGGAGTTCCAGCGAGGATTAGTATTCTCTAGGAACCAATTAGTCAGGTGTGGTGAAATGTACCCACTGACCTCAGCTGTCTGTTTTTCCGCAGTTCTCCAACTGATGTCATTTCGAGATGAGATCAGTCAGATTCCTGTAAAAGCAACACGTGAAAAGAATAAATGGCATCTGTTATTCTTTAAGCCTATTTTCAATGAAGTTATTATTGATTATGTCGCAAGGTTTGCTGGCGAAACTCTCACCGCTAGTAGCGGAACCATGAGACCCGAGGTAGTAAGTAATATGAGACCCATTACTTTGAATCTTGGTTTTGTCTAGATCTCCTGATGCCACCTTCCGTCACTCTTCATTGTGCTAAAACAAGTCTTCTAATTTGAGACGTTTCTCGCCTACTATTCTTAAAAGGACACATCCTAGCGTTGACATTCGCCTGTCAATTGGTTGTCAGTTCATTAGAATAATGTGTCTTCAGATATTCTCCTCCAGAATCTGAGACTGTGAGTTTTAATAGCATATAAACATATATGTCAGTGAAACAGTGGATAAATATCTTCTGAGATGACGAGTCATTCTTGTTGAAACGTCTTAAAATATGACCAACATTGGAAAACTTTATCTGTTCATAGTTTTGATATGTAGTCCATATTTCTGAGCTGAACCAGTTGCCCTCATTTCAGCATAAATTCTAATACTCTGTCATGAGAACCTCTTTGAAGTTACTCGCCTTCTGATGGCTAACCAGTTCATCCCCCTGTGGTGAAAGCTCTCTGCAAGCCGAAATTGTAGACAACAATTAACGTCAATGTTTATAGCCTCAATCAGGGTCATGAGATAAAACAGTGACAAGGTTTAACCTTAAGGAACTCACCAATCAATCACAGCAGGTGCATATACGATTCGCAGATATATGGCTTAACTTTCCGATAAACGGTCACAAGCATTACAGAATAACCTTCAGCGAAAAAACAACGAATCAGAAGACGTTGCTTTTTTGCTAACGATAACGCTAATTATAATGTACATAAAAATCAATAAATGCCTCTTGATTTTCTCAATAAATGTATTGTTGTCTGGCCCTTGTCTTCTGTCATTAAACTGTCAAGGTCACTCTATCACTGTGTGATGATGACATGCAAGTGAATGGAATGTGATGCAATGACTGAGCCGTTTTCTAGGTTATTTAACTTCGCAGGCTCAATCATTCTAGATGTCTGGCTAACTGTTTACATTCGAGCAATCTAAGTGACCTCGATATACTAGTTTGACTGGCCTGTGTAGTTGAACCCACTCAAAATCAGCATTGCATGGCATTTGATAAATTATATTATTGATTTTTTGCCTAAATGTGTCTTTCGAGTGGGTTCTTAAGACGACAGAGTTTATCTGTGAGAGAGGTGGATGGTCGCTTGGTTGGTTAACGTGCCACTCTAATTTTGGTGTTACTGAAAATCACACGTAAGGCCTCTGATGTTCCTTCTTTATATGGTAAAACAGTTACGACTGGCGTAGTTGTCCCCTCTTGTGCGTCATTGGCACAGTGGTAGAATGCTCGGCAACCACGCCCCATGAGGTCCCGAGTTCAATGCCCGGCCGCAGACGCACTCCTTTACCTCGCTAAGCCGCCAGTAAGATTGGTAAGGAGGGAAGGTAGGGCATTAGGCTAGCAATCCCATCCTGTAAAAGATAAGCACCACTGCTACCGAAACTTTGAGCCTCTAGCTTGACACCCTATGTTCCACTTGGGAACGTAAAGGAAATAAAAACGTTTTCCTTTTCTTTTACCTAGTGACTAGCTTCATTACAAAGCTGACATTATCTTTCTCGACAAAGTCGTCAAGGTGAACTTCAATATCAAGATATTGTCTAAGAAGATAACGGCAGGTTCACGATTAAACCATCCAAGTTAGAAAGCCCAACTTAGGCTTTAATTAATTCCACCCAGAATTGGTGAAGATACTTTGGTTTAGTTAAATGTCAACATAATTTCGCCAGGAGCCTAACCAGTAAGATTTAAAAAATGAAATCAAACAAATAAGGAAAAAAAGAGAAGACGTTCAGCGAAGAGACTCTTTTCGGCGAATTCATTCACATAGCTGTACAATCGCATTTATATATGATTATTTGTGTGTGTGTGTACATGAGGTTTGTGAAGTTTAGATAATTGATCAGGTAATACAAGAATGATCTAATATAGAAACAAGGTTAATCAGACAGCACCTAAAGTAAGATTGAGTTAGTAAGTTAGACGACGTAAAATAATTGACTAAAACGTTTCAACTTAGTTCAGGGTAGCAATAGAGGTAGTTACAGGTAGAGACTAAGTAGAAGTGGAGCAGAGAATAATGCCATTTAAATTAGAACTGAAATTGAGCAACTAAGTTGGATGACGTAACACAAATGACTAGAAATTGGCCGTTGTTCAAGTCAGTAACGGTGGTAGTGAGGTGTAGAAATTAAACCGGGTGAGAGTAGAGAACAAGAAAGTGTAAAATGTAAAATGTTACAATTGAGAAGACAAAATAATACTAATGAAGAGACAGAAAAAAAGATTAGGTAGAATTTACTTATCGGGTAATGAGATAGATTACGTCTATTGCAAGTGTAGTGATTGAACGAACTTCTTCTATATGCAGAGTTCAGCACTTAGCGAGTGAATCGCCATTGCTTCTGCAGTTTTTAAGAAGTCTGATTCGTACAGCTTTAGGAAGACTACTTCTTACTCTGTAGACGACTTAGAAGTTTGTTTGCAGTGTAGTTTGGTTTCCGGATTCTATCAGATGTTCTAAAAAAGATGGAGCTGCGGGGGCATCGATTTTCTCCTTTGTAAAACCATGTTGGTAAGTGTTCGGTGATACGTTTGAAAAGCGAGCGCCGGGTAAAGAAAGAGAAAATATTACTAGTGTATCACTAACTGCTTACCAGAATTTATTCAGAAATATATGAGAGACTATAGAAAAAGATAAGATCGGTGATGAAAGTGACAAAAATAACATAAATAATATAGAATTCAAGGCCTTCCCAGTACAGCCTTATAAATTAGGAGCATCAGAGGCCTTACACATGACTCTCAATGACACTGAAATTAGGGTGACATATATACCAACCAACCAAACAAATGTTCACCTATCTCAGAAATAAATTCTGCCATCTTAAAATACCCACCGGAAAGATCCTTTTAGGCGAAAAACAATAATATAATTTACCAAATGCTGTGTAATGCGGACTGTGAGTGGGGTCAGCTA